GTCCCGCGGCGTCCACTGTCCCGCTGCACCCACTGTCCCGTACCCGCCCACTGTGCCGTACCCGCCCACTGTCCCGCGGCGTCCACTGTCCCGCTGCACCCACTGTCCCGTACCCGCCCACTGTCCCGCGGCGTCCACTGTCCCGCTGCACCCACTGTCCCGTACCCGCCCACTGTCCCGCGGCGCCCACTGTCCTGCTGCACCCACTGTCCCGTACCCGCCCACTATCCCACGGCGAACCGGCCGGTGCCGGTGCAGACAGAGCTGCAGCCGGGCTGGAGGCGGGGGCCCAGGGCGGGGACGCTAGGGGCCCGTGTGGACCCCTCGCCTGCCAGCCAGAGGGTAACTGCAGTTTGAGGAATGAGACTCAAATGTCAGTGGCGTCTAAAGCCCGTGTCGTTGATCGTAAGACCCGTGACAAAACGTGCAAATCAAACAGTTTTTATCCGTGAAAAAAGCAGAAAAGCCGCTCGGCACGGTGCCGCACGCCTGGAATCCAGCACTTGGGAGGTGCAGGTGGGCAGATCGCTCGGGGAGTTGCGACCAGCCCAGGCAGCAGTGAGACCTACCTCGCCGGAGAATCGGCCTGCGCGGCGGTGCGCCTGCAGCCCTCCCAGCTACTCGGGAGGCCGAGGCGGGAGGATCCCCAGAGCCCGGGAGGCCGAGGTGCAGTAAGCCCAGATGGTGCCACTGCGCTCCAGCCTGGATGGCAGAGTGAGACCCTGCCTTGACTGAAGAACCGCTGGGCGCGGTGGCTCACGCCTGTAGTCCCAGCACATTAGGAGGCCGAGGCGGGCAGATCACCTGAGGTCAGGAGTTCAAGACCAGCCTGGCCAATACGGTGAAACCCTGTCTCTACTAAAAATACAAAAATTAGCCGGGGGTGGTGACGGGCTCCTGTAATCCCAGCTATTCCGGAGACTGAAGCAGGAGCTCGCCTGAACCCAGGAGGCAGAGGTTGCAGTGAGCTCAGATCGCGCCATTGCACTCCAGCCTGGGCAACAAAGAACAAAAGTCCGTCTCAAAAAAAAAAGGTAGAAAGCCCCAAGACCCTATCCTGTCAAACACCTTGGTCTCCGCTGAGTGGAGGCTCAGAGGCCCTGCCTCAGCCAGGGTTTTGAGGTGTGTGAGCAACAGCTGGGGACTGCAGCCCAGGAATTCGAGGGCCTCGCCCCACTTCCTTTCCGGAGCCGTGACCTCAGGCTCGCCTCCTGCCCTCACCTCTGGCAAGCTGCAGATGCCCTTTAGGGCCAGGCCGTGCCCCGGATGTGAGGGGACTGAGTCACTGGGTTCGGCAGTGCCCCTCGGAGCCCAGGTCTAGGCTGCCGCCCACCTGAGGATGAGGGGTGGGCCAGCGGCCGCGCTCCAGTTGCTGAGGCCTCTTGGGAACCCCATTTCTGAGCCCCGCCCATGGCCCCGCCCCTCCCAAGGAGCGAAAAGGCGCTGCCGGCCGCTCAACTCAGGCACTGGGACCTAGAGCTCCGAGGACCGAGAGGACAGACTGCCGCGCTGCCACCATCGGTGAGCCCTCAGCCCTGGGACAGCCCTGGGACTGCCCTGCAGGGTCAGCCCCTTCTCTCCAGTCTCTCACCCTCTCGCATCCCATTCCCAGCTCCATCTAAGGGGCAATGCCACCAGGGGAGGGCAGGATCCCTGGCAGGGGAGGCGGCGGGGAGGCACCAGCCCTCGCTCTCGCTTGGCTCCTGCCCATGACAGCAGTCTGGCACACACGTGCAGGTCACTTTGAGGTCACTGCACCCCTGGGTACGTTTGCCTTGGACAAGGCATGCTGCTCCTGGGTGGGGGCTTTCTTGGGCCACCGGCTTGTGGGCAGCCGTCCCACCCCACTGAGTCCGTATCTGTCTTCTCTGCCCACCCCTGCAGGCTGGGCCATGGACCCCCACGAGATGGTCGTCAAGAACCCGTATACCCACATCAGCATCCCCCGGGCTCACCTGCGGCCCGACCTGGGGCAGCAGTTAGAGGAGGCTCCCACCTGTTCCTCATCCTCGGAGATGCAGCCACTGCCAGTAGGGCCCTGTGCCCCGGAGCCAACCCATCTCTTGCAGCCGACGCAGGTCCCAGGGCCCAAGGGCGCCAAGGGTACCCAGGGGGCTGTGCCCATCCAGAACCAGCAGACCTGGCAACAGCCTGGCAACCCGTACGGCAGCAGTCGGCGCCCGGCCGGACTGACCTACGCTGGCCGTCCGCCTGTGGGGCGGGGGGACGACATCGCCCACCACTGCTGCTGCTGCCCCTGCTGCCGCTGCTGCCACTGCCCCCCCTTCTGCCGCTGCCACAGCTGCTGCTGCTGCGTCGTCTCCTAGCCCTGCCCGTCCTGCCAGGGCCAGGACCCAGGCAGTGCCTGAACATTCAGGGTGGCTACTGTCACGGCACCGGCCCCTTCCCACCAGGGACTGGGCATGGACCCACCAGGAAGGTGACCACTCAGCCCGAGCTCCTGAAACGGAATCCCAAGCCCTGGCTGGAGAGGGGTGCTCCTGATTACCTTAAGGCCCAGGCAATAAAGCAAGGTGGTCTCCCGGCAGCTCTTCTTTGCCGCGGGCTCCTTTGGGAGGGCCTTGTAGCTGGACGCAGAGCAGCTCTCCCCTTGTGTGGGCTCAAGGACACACGCGCACACACACAGCTCGGCCCCATGCACACTCGAGGACACACACGTGCACACACACAGCTCGGCCCCATGCACACTCGAGGACACACACGTGCACACACACAGCTCGGCCCCATGCACACTCGAGGACACACACGTGCACACACACAGCTCGGCCCCATGCGCACTCAAGGACACACACAGTCACCGGCGTTGCAGGGACAGGGCTGCCACTGCTCCCGACATCCACTCTCCCCCTGCCCTGCCGGTCTCCGGCCTGCCCAGAGGTGCCACGGGGACTTGCAGTGTGTCCACGGCCCTGGCCGAGCAGGGTCTGGATTTGAGCTCCCTGGGGTCAGTCTATGGGTCGGCCAGCAGGAGGATGGGACTGGGGGGACCTGAAGAAAGGCCTCCAAGAGGAGGAGCGTGCTGGCAGGAGGGCGATGGGTGCGGCAGGTGCCACAGGTTTCAGGGAGTGGGAGCTCAGGACAGGAGGGCCCAGACAGCCTGGATCACGCCCTGCCCACTGGTGATTCACCTCCCAGCCTCGGCTGGGATGTTTTTCTAGTTTCCCAGGAAATGTTGAATTCCTGCACGTCTGCTATCCTGCCTTGGGGCCTGGGCTTCCGGGAGGAGGCGGCCTGGACCAGGCCTTGAGGACGAAGCAGGGAACGGGGAGGGAAGGAGGCTGGGACCGTCTCCTGGTCTGTCTGAGCTGGGCGAGGGCCTCTCTGGGGCTGAGCTCGAGGTGCCAGGCTGCTCTGCACAGGTGCTGCCTCTCTGCTGCAGGCCAGGATGCCAGGAAGGGAGCGACTGCTGAGGCCAGTGTGGGGCACCCTGGTGTTCCAGGCAGGCAGAGAAAAGGCGAGGAGGCGGCAGCTGAGCTGGCCACGCAGGACAGACGGGTCTTCACACCAGGCCAGCCCTTCCCTGACACATGGTGACTAGCCCCACAGCAGAGCACGGCAGGGCAGGTGCCTGGCATGCAGAGGTCTCCAGGCGTGGGACGGATGGGTCACTGCCCTGACCCTGTGCAGGGACTTGGCGTGCCAGGCTCCCCGCCTTGCTCCGTCACCGGCCCCCACCGGAGGGTGACCGCACCCAGGCCAGCCACGGGAACCTGTCTGACCAGTCCTAGGGGCAGACTGCCAAGAGGGTGGGCAGGGGTGAGGAGGGGCCGTCTGCTTCCATCCAGTAGGGCTGTGAGTGGTCTTCGGATCCTGCCCACCCATCCCAGCCCCTCTCGGTCCCCTGACTGTGCTCTGCCTGCGTTCTGGTGTGGACAGGCTGACAGCACCTCCTGGAACCCAGGGCTCCCGGGTGGCCTGGGGGCTGCAGATGAGCAGAGCAGCCGGGAGCTGCCCGCTGAGGATGTGGCGTCTGGCGCTGTCTGGGGACCCCAGCTGGGAGTGGGGATCCCCAGACATGGAGCTGGCACGCCACCTGGAGGCCTTGAGGGCAGACACGGCCCCCTGCCATCCAGCGGGCACCAAGGTGCTGAGAAGCACAATGGCAAAGTCTGCAAAGGGCTCTGTGTCCGAGGGAAATCCCGGCAGGCTTCCTAGAGGACATGTGAGCGGAGATCGAGGCAGGAAAACAATCCAGTATGGAGAGGAGATTGAGGGAGGGATATAGCAAGGGTGGGGGAGGGGAGGGGCGGTGGGGAAGAGTGTGAGTGTGGGGAGAGGGGCTGAGAGTGGGCGAATGGAGCCCCCAAGGCTAGCCTGGATGAGGTGTTAGCAGAAGGTGGCCGGTCTGGATGGCAGGGTGGGCGGGGCCGCAGGGCACCTTATCTCCTGCAAGTGCATGGTGCCATCAGATCCAGTTTCAAGGCTTTTGTATCTGAAACGGGAGCCCACACCCGCCCAGCCGGCCACCTGCCTCTCTCCTGAGTCCTGTGTAAGGCCAGTAATGCAAGCCAGGAGGGAGCCACAGGGTGCCCTGGGTCCCCACCCCCTTCTCCGGCCACCCCCTGGCTGTGCATAGCGGCCCAGCAGAGCCCATGCAGGTAAGAGACCTGGGCTCCCGTTGGTTGTGAGGGTGGGGGCCAGGGCTGGGCCAGGGCGTCCTGTGAGAACAGGAGGCTGCCCGGCTGGTGCCCACATGAAGCAGAGGTGCCCGGACCCTGGTGTCTTCCTGCACCCTCCCTCCCAGGTCTGCACGCACCAGCCCCCCAGACCCAGTGCCTGACCTCTGGGGCAGGTTCCTGGGGCCAGCACCCCACCGACGGGGACAGTGCCCGAGGCAGGCTGTCCACTGCGGGCTTCCCTCTGGCAGGATGCTGCGGCCAGAGGGCCCCCAGGCTTCAGGGGAGGGCAGCCCCTGGAGGAGCGACTGCATCGTCTGCTGCTCGGCTTATGATCTCTCCGGGCACCTGCCCCGCCGCCTCCACTGCGGGCACACCTTCTGCCAGGCGTGTGTACGGCGGCTGGACGCACCGGCACCCGAGCAGCGCTGGATCTCCTGCCCACAGTGCCGCCAGAGCACGCCCACGCCTCGAGGAGGGGTGGCTATGCTGGACCTGGACCTGGCTGCTTTCCTGGCAGTCAAGGCTGAGCGGGAGCCGGCAGGAGTGCGGCCCCAGCCCCTCGCCTCCCTCAAAGGCGGCACCATCACTCAGCAGCCGGCGGGGCCGTGCCCTGCCCTGGGCCCCCAGCCCCACTTCCCTCGGCCCAGACACTGCTGCTGGGGCTGTGGCCGCCTCTGCTGCCCGCCCCCAGGCAGCCCCGAGGTCTGACTCTGGCCATGCCCACCCCTGCAGGGGAAATGCCTGCCTTGGAACCCCTGGCCACGCACAGCCCACCTGGAGCCACCTGGTAGCAGCGTTCTGTACACAGCTCCACGTGGCCCAGTGGGGTGCTGCGAACCCAGGCCACAGCCTAAGGTTGGAGACTGGGAGCCTTCGCAGGAGGCTAGTGACCTCCCGCCTGTCCTGGCCAAAATTACCAGACCCCCAACTAGCCCAACCAGATGTGCCTGCTGAGGCTGCTGCCGCCTGAGTGGACGGCAAGCCTGGCCCGGGCCTAGACCCGGCGCAAACGATGGCTCCCAGAAGGATGCAAAGGCCAGTCCCAGGGCCTAGGCTGCAGGCTGGAGGGCCGGGCCGGGCTGGGCTGTGCCCAGAGTAGGTCCCCTCTCCCACAAGGGTCCCAGTATGTGCCAGGAGGGCGGCAAGGCCACCTCCTTCCTCTCTGCCCTGCACGGAAGCCCTGTGAATTCACCCACTCTGCAAAACTCACGGAGTTCCCACTGTGTGCCGGCACTGTTCCTGGGGGTCCCGTGCAGGCACAAGGCCATGCAGCCATCGAGGAGGACGCCCCGGCGGGGCCTGCCTGAGGTCTCACAGCCCAGCTGGCCTCATCTTCGGCTGAACCTTCCCAGGCTCCCAGCAGCCACCACACAGACTGTTCAGAGGGGCCAGGGCCGGGGCTGGAGGCTGTGGATGGCAGTGACCCCCAAGGGAGTACTATGACACCCCACCCTGCCCCCATAGAAGGCAGTGTTACTCAGGAGCCCAGAGACAGACTGGTGCCCCCCACCACCGCCGGAGCAGGGTCGCAGGATGGGACGGAAGAGAATTTGCTGAGTGGACATTCAGAAGCGTCTACTTTCTCTGGGGCAAAGTCCCATGCACGCAGTGGGGGCTGGGCAGCCAGGAGAGCAGGCACAAGCAGCCCCTGGGCAGGACGAGCCTTGCGGGAGCTGCTCCATACCCCAGGTCAGGAAGGGGCCCAGTCCTCCTAGGGGACACCGCACAGGCCGTGGGGCCATCTGGGATTCTGCTGTGGAGAGCAGTGTGGCGGGCCAGGCAGTGGTGTCAAAGGTGGCCTGGGGGGCCCTGCCCTTCTCCCTCTGCAGATGGAGGCTGCCCACCTCCATCGCTGCTGAGGCCTAGCCCTATCCTGAACCTGGATCTGAACCCTCTGACCTCGGGCTGGGTGCCCTCCCTGGCTACACGAACAAGCCTGTCCTCCCCACTGGCAGGTGCAAAGGGCTTCCCTCCCCACTCTGTTGCGGAAGGGATGACCCTGAGAAGGTCTGCGGAGCCCTGAGATGCATGGAGGTGGGGACTGGAGTCTCCGGAGCCTGGGAAGGCCAGCCATGCTCTTGCATCCTGCCCGGCTGGGTCACACAGATGCCTGCTGGGGATGTCCAGTGCTGAAGGCCGGTGCCCTGCAGCGCCCTGAGCCTGATTCAGAGTGCACCTGGAGAAACCCTGCTCCAGGAGGGTTGGGCTGGGGCTTGGAGCTCCTGGCCACAGTGTGACAGGACGTGGATGGGGCCCAGGGGCCTTGGGGCCAGGAGGGTACCCCGTGGGGACTTGGGCTCCTGGGTAAACATTAATGGGCCCTGCGCCGGCAGGTCATGTGCATGATCAGGGGATCTTTGACCTGCACCCGCTCCCGCCCCGCTCCTGCAGGTGGCACCTCACCACCCACACAGGTAGGAGCTCCCAGGACCAGGCTGGGCCCAGGGACAGTGAGGCTGAGGCTGGGTGGCCTCCAAGCCCAGGGCTTGGGCCCCATCCTGAGCCTCCAGGACCTGAGGGCAGCAGACAGCAGGCTCGGCAGCAGGAGGGAGCGTGAGGCGGAGGACGCCTGGACCTGAGCCCAGACCCTGGGTGGAAGGTCCCCGTGGGCGGCACGAGGCTGTGGGGTGAGCAGGCCCAGGAGGATGAGAAAGCAGCTGCTTCGGGGCCAGGAGCCTTGAGGTGGTGTGAAGACACCTGGTCCCCACCTGCTCCCTATCACCAGGGCATGGGTCCCTTATCAAGCCAAGACGTCACTGATTGGTATCAAATGCCAAAGTCTAAGTCGGGACCATCCACAGTGTCCCTGATACACCTGATAAGAGAGGCCCCCAGGTCCCCAGTTCACAGTCGGTTCCGGCCTGAGCCTGCACCCTCGGCACCCGCCAGGCCTTCCAGGCAGGACCAGCAAGGGGGCCGGGGAGCCAGGGCCCCTCAGTCGGCCCCGGAATTGGACTAGGCTCTCCTGACAACTGCCTGAGGTCACTGTCGCCATCCCCCTGTGGATGGAGAAGGGGGTGGGGAGGGAGGGTGGCAGCCGAGGCCTCAGTTCAGGGAACCCAGGGGCACAAATTCAGCCTGAGGCCGGGGCCAGGGCAGGAGGAGGCGTGACTGACGCGTGGGTCTCCCCAGCAGATCCGGGTCTGGGCCTGGGTCTGTCCCTGCCCGAAATCCATGCCGAGCTCCCTCCCGGACAGCCAGGTCCCCCACCCCACTCTGGATGCAGTGGACCTAGTGGACAGGACGCTGAAGAATGCAGGTACCAGCAGGCCCCACGCCCCAGGCCTTGACCGGTCTGACCACCTGCCCCCCGGGCACTGGGCAGAGACAGACCTCCCGGGAGCCCACATGGTTCCGACAGCTCCACTCAGGTCCAGCCCAGCTGCAGCCCCGTCTTCCCTGTTCCGTTTCTGCCCCTCACTCCAGGCCTCTCGCGCCTCAGCCCCTCCTGGCCTGTGTCCTGGTGCCCCCAGCTGAGGGGGGTCCTGGAAATGGCCACACTCAATTCCACCCCCACAGGAACCTCTAGTTCTACTCCAGTCTTGCAGGAGGGCGACACAGACCCCTGGGCCCTCCCTCAGCTGAAGGACACCAGCCAGCCCTGGAAAGGTGGGTCTGGGGGTGCCAGGCTGGCAGGCCTCTGTCCCCCAGGGGCTGGGGGGAGACAGCAGGGTGGGGCCCAAACGGGCTGTTCATGGAGAACGCTGACATGCAGGCCCCTGGGGGGCAGCGCATGCCCCTCAGCCCATCATGTGTCCTGTCCTGGGGTGGACGAGCCACGCTCCCCATGCGTCCCTGCCCTCCTGCAGGTGGCTATCCTTCTTCGAGAGGGGGTCCCAGGGGCTTCTGGCTTGGAAAGGCAGGGGGAGTGGACAGAGGGGACCCAGGCCCTGCCCTGGGGGTGACAGAGGAGGAGGAAATGGGACCCCGCCCTGTCGGGGACCAAGGATGAGGGGCCTTGGGGGGGCAGTCAGGGTGGAGGCCTGCCAAGGACAGCCTGCCCTGTGTCCTCAGAGCTCCGCATGGCCGCCAGGCTGCGTCTCGTGGCCGGCAACCTCCTCAAGGCCTGCGGGCTCCTCGGGTGCCTGTACCTGTTCATCTGCTCCCTGGACGTCCTCAGCTCCGCCTTCCAGCTGCTGGGCAGTGAGTGACGGGCAGATGCCCAGGGCGGGGCGGGCAGCCAGCCCTCTGCAGCCTGAGTGCAGCTCTCTCGCCGGTGCAGGCAGACTGGCCGGAGACATCTTCAGGGACAACATGGTGCTGTCCAACCCAATGGCTGGACTGGTCATCGGCGTGCTGGTCACAGCCCTGGTGCAGAGCTCAAGCACGTCCTCCTCCATCGTGGTCAGCATGGTGGCCGCTAAGTGTGCGTGCAGCCTCCTTCCCCGGGTGGGGGCGGGGGCGGGGTGGGCCGCGGGCTGACTCAGCACCCCACCGGCAGTGCTGACTGTCCGGGCGTCCGTGCCCATCATCATGGGTGTCAACGTAGGCACATCCATCACCAGCACCCTGGTCTCAATGGCGCAGTCAGGAGACCGGGATGAATTTCAGAGGTGAGTTGCAGGTGGAAGGGCCGGGCAGGGCTGCACCCCGGCCGCCCCCCTCCCCCATCGACTCTGGGGTCGCAGGGCCTTCAGCGGCTCGGCGGTGCACGGCATCTTCAACTGGCTCACGACGCTGGTCATGCTGCCGCTGGAGAGCGCCACGGCCCTGCTGGAGAGGGTCAGCGAGCTGGCCCTGGGTGCCGCCAGCTTGGAGCCCGGGGCACAGGCGCCTGACATCCTCAAGGTGCTGACCAAGCCGCTTACACACCTCATCGTGCAGGTGAGGAGAGGCGGAGCAGGCTGGATGGGAGGCGGAGGCCGGACCTGCCCTGATGCAGGGTCAGCATTGAGGGCAGCAGCGGGCAGGGCTGGGCTGGACCCTGCGGGCGTCGGAGCCCCAGCTGAGCCCTGAGGGAGGGTCTCACACCCTGTCACGACCCCTCCGGCCCCCAGCTGGACTCTGATGTGATCATGGGCAGCATCACGGACAATGCCACCACCAACAGCCTCATTAAGCAGTGGTGCAGCTCTACTGGGCAGCCGGTGAGGCGCCACCCAGCCCCTCCCTGACCCTGGCCCCCACCTGCTGAGCCCCACCCACCTCACCTTGAGCCCTCTGACCTCTGTCTGCCAACTGAGCCTGTCCTGAGTCCTCCCTGCCCTCGCCAGACCAAGGGGAACAGCAGCGACTGTGGAGACTCCGGCCCCTGCGAGGACAGGAACGGCACCGCCCCAGCGGATAGGCTGCCCTGTGAGGCCTGGCCCACCCCACGCCCCCCAAGCCCCCCAAGCCCCCCATGCTCCCCCTCACCCACCCTTGCAAAGAGAGGAACAGCACAGCCCTGTGGACAGGCTGCCCTGTGAGGCCGCCTGCGCCAGCCAGCCCCTCAAGCTCACCTTAACTGCCCCTACCCCACCTCCAGGCCAACACCTGTTTGCGGGCACGGAGCTCACGGACCTGGCTGTGGGCTTCATTCTGCTGGCCGGCTCCCTGCTGGTGCTCTGCAGCTGCCTGGTCCTCATTGTCAAGCTGCTCAACTCTGTGCTGCGTGGCCGTGTGGCCCAGGCCGTGAAGACCATCATCAACGCGGGTGAGGGCTGGGGAGGAGATGCGGTGGCCAGGGCTGACCCGGCATCCCCCGCAGACTTCCCCTTACCTCTGGGCTGGCTCAGCGGCTACCTGGGCCTCCTCTGCCGTGGCCAGGGCTGACCCGGCATCCCCCACAGAGATCCCCTTCCCTCTGGGCTGGCTCAGCGGCTATCTGGCCCTCCTCGTGGGAGCCGGCCTGACCTTTGTACTGCAGAGCAGCAGCGTCCTCACAGCGGCCATCGTACCCCTCATGGGTGAGCAGGCGGGCAGGGGCCTCCGGAGCAGGGGCTCAGGCTAGAGCCCTGTGGTGACCCCCAGTTCCCTCAGGAGTCGGGGTGATCAGCCTGGACCGGGCGTACCCCCTCTTACTGGGCTCCAACATCGGCACCACCACCACAGCCCTGCTGGCCGCCCTGGCCAGCCCCGCAGAAAGGATACTCAGCGCCCTGCAGGTACTGCCCGCCCACTGCCAGAGCCTGCCAGGCTCCCTCTCAGCCCCATAGAAAGGAGTGTCCCCAGCCCCACGTCCCCAGGTGGGCTGAGCCCCTGCCCTACCTGACCCCCAGGCTGGCCATGCCCCCACCTTCACAGACCCCTTCCCTGGCCATGACCCGCCCTCCCGGAAACCCCAGGCTGGCCGCGCCCCTGCCCTCCTGGACCTGGTCCCTAGCCACCAGCCTCAGCCCTACTGTTCAGCCTCCTTGGTGACCCCATCTCATCGGGCCCAGGCCCCTGACGGCCCCCTCGCCCCCAGGTCGCCCTCATCCACTTCTTTTTCAACCTGGCGGGCATCCTGCTGTGGTACCCGGTGCCTGCGCTGCGGCTGCCCATCCAGCTGGCCAGGCACTTTGCGGCAGTGACTGCCCGTTACCGCTGGGTGGCTGGGGCCTACCTGCTGCTCGGCTTCCTGCTGCTGCCCCTGGCAGTCTTTGGGCTCTCCCTGGCAGGGGCCACGGTGCTGGCTGCCGTCGGGGGTCCCCTGGTGGGGCTGGTGCTCCTCGTGGTCCTGGTTACCATCCTGCAGCGGCGCCGGCCGGCCTGGCTGCCGGCCCGCCTGCGCTCCTGGGCCTGGCTCCCCATCTGGCTCCACTCTCTGGAGCCCTGGGACCGCCTGGTGACCCGCTGCTGCCCCTGCAAGGCCTGTAGCCCCCCGCAGGCCACCACCAAAGAGGCCCACTGCTACGAGAACCCTGAGGTCTTGGCCTCCCAGCAGCTGTGAGGGTGGGCAGCGTGAGGACTACCCTGCCCTCCCTGGCTGGGAGGACTCTGGAGGGTCCTGGGGGAGGGGTCCCCTGCTCCCCTTCTGTGCAAATAAACCAGGCTGTTACCCCAGGTGAGCGTCCTCACTCCCCTAAACAGGGGCCACCTGGGCAGGGGCAGGGGATGCGGCCCAATGCTGCCCCCCGGTGGACACTCTGGGGCCCGGGGCTCAGGTGCAGGTGACACCTACCTCCACTGGGTGTTTCTCACCACAGCTGCTGGGGACAGAAGCTGCCAAGGAATGGGGCCTAGGGGGCGGGGACTTCCCACAGCGGGAGCCAGGGTCCCTCCCGAGGGCGCAGGGGAGAGCCCAGCCTTCAGGGAGCAGGGCAGGTGGTTTGGGGCTGGGAGGCCCCGGACCCCCTCTGCCCCTGGCTGATGTCACGGTTGGGGTGGGGCCTGGAGTCCCACCAGGTACGTGGGGTGTGAGGAGGGGACCCTGATGGCTCGGAGGGCCGGGTGCTCCCTGAGGCACCCCCTGCCCCTCTGCCCTCTATGTCTCTCGGCTGGTCCTGGGCTGCGTCCCCAGGGACGCTGCTATGCAGGGCTGGGCCATGGCAGGTCTCAGCTCCCAGAACCCACTGGGAAGCCGGCCTCCCCTGCCAGGCTGGGGTGCACTGAGGCCTCGCGCTGCCACGGGGAAGGCCTGTCCCGGGAAGGCCTGCCCATGGGGTGGGCCCAGGAGAGCAGGCAGCGCCCATGGGGAGGACTTGGGAGCCGCGGTGAGGGGGAGGGCTTGCCCTCCCTCCACTGTGCGGTCGGGTTTCCACACAGGAAGGCTTGTCTGTTGGCCAGTGGTAACTGGACACCCGGGGGGGGGGCTCCTGCCACCTCTCGCCCAGAGCTTCCCATGGCCCCACCCCAACCCCCACTCCCCGCAAGGGAAGAAAGCTCTGGGTCACCCCAGAACCCCAGCTCTCCGTCAGACACACACAAACAGGTGGGCGGAGGTGGCCCCGTCAGGGACCGGTCTGGTTTGATCATTTCTTTTCTTTCTTCCTTCCTCCCTCCCTCCCTCTCCCTCCCAACCTTTTCTTCTTTTGAAACAGTTTTCTCTTGTTGCCAGGCTGGAGTGCAGTGGTGAGATCTTGGCTCACCACAACCTCTGCCTTCCAGGTTCGAGCGATTCTCCTGCCTCGGACTCCCGCTTACAGGCACGTGGCACCATGCCAGGCTACTTTTTTTTTTT